GTGCTGACCCAATCTGCATAATCTTTCCTCATAAACATCCCATTCATCCCAGTGGTCAATCAAATGATCCGTCTCTGAACTGCCTCCAATACAGGTATATCTCTCCCAAAAAAAAAACCAAAACTATGCACAGTATCGTCAGTGTGGTTTCATCAGTACCCTGCACAGTTCTAGATTCATTTCTTATTTTTATATTCTATACCCCATGCAAGAAAGAACAATATTCCTTTGGCTTTCCTGATTCTTGGGATTTGGGTGTTACGGAATATATTACGGGTATGATAGCTGCAGATTCAGTGGTGGTAATGCCATTAAACACCAAAGAGAGATGGTTAGATTCTTTCTTGATGAAAATAGTCATTGCCTGGCATTTGTACAATAGAAATTGCTACTAGCTACTTGTCAGCTCAAGGCTGAAGTTGTTCTTTTTCGGAGGGAGGATGTAAATGCATTGGAAGCAGTTAAGAGAAGGTTTATTAAATTAATTCCTAGAATGGGCAAATTAGTTAATGAGGAAAGATTGGAGAGCTAGGCTTGTATCTGCTGGAGCTTTGAAGAGTAAGAGGCCACTTGATTGAAACACTTACAATCCTGGGGAGTCTTAGCAGGGTGGAAGGGGCAAGGATATTGCCTGTTTGGGAGAATCCAGAGCTGTTTAAAAATGATGCATTATCCACTTAACATATTTGCAACAAAAGTTTTATTATAGAGTCCTAGTCATAGAGATCTACAGCACAGAAGCAGACCCTTCGGTCCATCTCGTCCATGCTCACCAGATATTCTAAATTAATATAATCCCATTTGCCAGCATTTGGCGCAAAGCCCTCTAAACCCTTCCTATTCATAAACCCATTCAGATGTCTTTTAAATGTCATAATTGTACCAGTCTCCACCACCTCCTCTGGCAGCTCATTCCGCACACCTACCACCCTGTGTGTGAAAAAGTTGCCTCGTAGGTCCCTCTCACTCTAAGCCTATGCCCCTCATGATTTTATAAATCTCTGTAAGGTCATTCCTCAGCCTCCGATGCTCCAGTGAAAATAGCCCCAGCACATTCAGCCTCTCCCTACAGCGCAAAACCTCCAACCCTGGCAACATCCTTGTAAATCTTTTCTGAACCCTTTCAAGTTTCACAACATCTTTCCTATAGCAGGGAGATCAGAATTGAACACAGTACTCCAAAATGGCCTAACCAATGTCCTGTACAGCTGCAACATTACCTCCCAACTCCTATACGCAATGCACTGACAAATAAAAGTAAGTGTACCAAATGCCTTATTCTCAGAATATGATGAGTCTTTGGCACTAAGTAGTAGAAACAGTTATTGAATATATTTAAGGCAAAGGTAGATTGATCCTTACTACCAAAAGGGGTGAAAGGTTATCAAGGAATGTAGAAAGCAGATTTGCATTGTAATCAGCCATGATCTTATTGAATGGTGGAGCAGGGTCAAGGAACTGAATGGTCTACTGCTGCTTTTTTTTCAAACTTTCATTCATATGTTTATCGTGCTACATATGGAGAGGGGCTCTTCAGTATCTCCAGAGTCACAAATGGCACGGAAAATCAGGTGATTAGCAGTGAACATCCCTGCTTCTGAACTTATCACAAAAGGAAAGTCATGAATGAAGCAATTGAAGATGGTTGAGCCCAGGACACTGCCCTTAAGATCTCCTGCAGAGATATCGTGGAGCTGAGATGATGGACCTTCAACAGCCATAGCGATCTTGCTTTGTTCTTTTCGTCCTCATTACTTATTTTTGTATTGACATCAGATCTGGTTACACTATACTTAGAATCTTCAATGTAGTGATTAAGATAGGTTGTAGATGTTGAACCTTGGGACTGATCACTGTGATACCATATTGGTTACAGTTTGTCAAACTCAAATGGCCCATTTAGCTCCATGTCCTGATTTTTGTCAGCTAGTGAATCATCTTTCTATGCTATTGTATTACCCCCACTACCACAAGCTCCACCTTGTCCAGCATGCTTTTACCTGGCACCTCAGCAAATAGTTTTTGAAACTCCAAATAGACTATGCCTACTGGTTCCGTTTTATCCACCCTGCTTACCCTCCAAGGTCTCCACACAGCTGCAGCTTTTACATCTAATTCTATCAAAATATCCTTCTATTCCCTTTTCCACCTTGTATTTGTCTAAATTCCTCTTAAATATACCCATGTTGTTTACCTCAATGTCACACAGTAGTAGCAAGCTGCATATTCTCACCATTCTCTGGATCAAGAAGTTTCTCCTGAGTTGCGTCTTGGATTTAGTAGTGAATATCTTACATATATGACCTTTAAATTATATATCTCACACCATTTAGCAACCCTTTCATAATCTTAAATATCTCTTGGGTCAGACCTGAGCTTTCTCTTTTCTTCAGAAACATACCCCATTTGTACAGCCTTTAATGATAACAATAATTTCTCTACTGCTATCACCCATATCAAGATTGCTTTTGGACCTTGTCCAATGCCCCCTTTATCCTTCTTCATTATATTGAAATCGGAACTTTTTGCAACACCCCAAGTACAATCTGCCACAATACTATACTTAGATTCTCTCCTTTACAATGTCATTCCTCTAGGATTGAATCTCTGTGTTTGGTTTCCTGTTTATGGGATTTTTAACCCATGCTGCTACTTTTAGTGAATCCTACATTTGTTCCTTTCCATTCTTTGCCCCTTTACGCCATTTAACCTTTTGTTAGCCAGCAGCATTTGGCATACTTAAGGTTCTCATCAAAATGCACCGATGTTACTACATAAAAAAGAAAATAACTACAGCAAAAGAGCAGGGTATTAACAGGATGACTCAGAACACTAGCACAGAAATATAGGGTGGCACGGTGACTCAGTGGTTAGCACTGGTGCCTCACAGTGCCAGGGAACTGGGTTTGATTCCATTCTTAGGTGAATCTATGTGGAGTTTCCATGCTCTCCCCATGTCTGCATGGGTTTCCTCCCACAGTCCAAAGAGGTACAGGTCAGATGGATTGACCATACTATATTGTTCCATAGTGTCCAGGGATGAATATTACATGGATTAGCCATGAGAAATGCAGGGTTATGGGGATGGGGTGGGTCTGGGTTGGATGCTCTTCTAAAGGTCAGTGAAACATGATAGGCTGAATGGCCTGCTACCGCACTGTAGGGATTCTATGAGAGATATAATGGGCCTAACAGCCTTTTCTAATGCTATGAAATTCTATGATTTCACGTACAAGGGTCTGAATTGTGCGTTCCTCTCTTGAACTGTTAGCTACCATGAGTGTGAAGTACTAGAATTCTGTGTTTGTGGCCAAGTTTATAATTAACTGAGCCCATGTGCAGTTGTTATTCACGGGGGCAATTGTCTGGATTCGGTTCATTTCGCATGCAACTTGGTTCTCTCGAGGCTGCCCGTAATTTCTAACAAGTGTTTTGGAATTATTCCAGCATTTCTCCCTCAGCTGAATTACTCATCATCACATCACCCAACTGGTTGGGATGTGCAAAGTACATAAATGTGTGGGTGCCTGTTTCAGAAAAGCAATTGATGCCAACGACTCTGTGGTGATGTATTACCTTCTATTGTGGGGGTATTTATCCCTTGTTCCTAGTTGGGGAACAAACCAGCCAGTCTGCAAACTTCGAAAGAAGTTTAATTTACCTAGTCTATACAAGGATGGGAACATAATCCTGGGTGGAATCTTTCACTTCCACTATCATCTCGCACAACAGCTTGAGCCTTATTCCTTCACCATTGAACCACAGCCACCAGAGTGCAAAACGTGAGTTGATCCCTGTAAAATGGGCTAAGAACTCAGTGAACCAGGGTGCTGCAAGATCCTGAGAACAAATTTTTGAAATGGGGTGAAGGGTGTTTCATTTTACTGCTTGAATCCAATAATAGCCAGAAGATTGTAGCAAGTTGGCAGCTGTTTTAACACAGATATATGCACGTGTACAATGTATATATTTATGTGTGCCCTTGCATGTGGGTAATTTGTGTATGTGTTTCTTTGCATGCATGTATCTACATTGCATACTCCAGGTTTTGTTGAAAGTGGAGTCTTTTTATCAGAAATGGATTATGAGTGGAGCAGGTTTGAAGGGCTGAATTATTTATTTCCGTACCTAATTATGTGAAACAATTAAACATCCATGTTTAGATTGAGTTTTTGATGATGTTTTGAAGCAGTTACCACAATGGAACTTTTACCTGGTGATTTTTCCTTCTCTTTGGTTCAAAATGTTGATTAGAATATTAGGCTTCTGGCAGCAAAAATCAGAATCAGACCTAATGGTGGCTTTGCATCATGAGCCATTTGTTGCACCTTGGAATGCAATTCAGTTCAGTCTGATGTTCTTGCAAAGATTTGTAGCTCGGGTTGTGGGTGAGCTTTGTTGACTTGCTCGCTGAGCTGGCTGGTTGTAATTCAGTTGCATTAATGATGTTACCTGGCGTGGCGCTGAAATGTCTGAACTATGACCAGCCAGCTTGGTGAGCAAATCAACAACTTCAGTTCAGTCTTCAGTAACCAGTGACCCTCACTGACAGGGTACAAGAGGCAAGATCTTTTTGATACAGGGAGGTAAACTCATTCCTCTAAATTTAAATCAAGTTCAGCTCCACATTAGAGTGTTGAAGAAAATTTGAGAACCACGGAGTATTGCAAATTATTCATAGTTGGATTAAGTTTACATGTAAATATATATAATATATTAAAATATCGCAGCTTGCAAATAATTGCATCCACCAAATGATTCTATTTTGCTAGAAGCAGATTAGGAAAGTGAAAGACTGCATCAAATGTGATTGAGACAACATGTCATAACAATCTATTCCTTTACAATCCAGTTTCAATTTCAGAGAATTTCGTTTCGCACAAACCATGATCTTTGCTATTGAAGAGATAAATAGGAATACAAAGCTACTTCCTAACGTCACACTGGGGTATCAAATTTATGATGGCTGTAGTAGTGAAACCCAGTCAGTAAAAGCGGTCATGGCACTCATCAATACCCAGAATGAAACTACATCTGATTTCAACTGCACAATCATTTCAAAAGTCCCTGCTGTATTTGCCAATGCTGGATTTGTCAGGTCACTAGCAGAAACAATGCTAACTGGTCCTTTTGGAATCCCAACGGTAAGATACCTGCATCCTATTGAATATTTTTTAGTTTAATTATTGAACTCATATTGCATTAAATTACTAGGAGTTAACAGTTTAAAATATAAATGTGACACATAAAGTGTAAGGTTTAAAGTAAAAGCAGAAATTGCTGGAGAAATTTGGCAGGTCTGACAGCATCTGTGGAGAGAGAGATATGCTTCAATACTTTAAATGCAATGACACTTCATTCGAATTCAAATTTAACTCTGAGTTTAACTCTGAACTATTTTTCTCTGAGGAAGAGATTATAGATTCAAGTCCCATTCTATTCAGCTTAGCCTAAGATCTAGGTTGATTTGTCAGTGCAGCACTGAGATAGAGCTGCAGTTAGAGGTGCTGTCTTTTGGATGAGGTGTTAAAGCAAGGTCAATGCTTGGCCTCTATTTTGGAGATCAAAAGATTGCACTACCATATTTTGAAGAGGTATAGTGGAGCTTTCCTTCATATTCTTGTCAATATCTCCTAACCAACATCAAAATCAAAGTATCTAATAATTAACACTCCTTATGGGATCTTACTACGTGCAGTTTGGCTGTCACATTTCTTGTATCACCACAGTGACGACACTCAAAAGCATTTCATTCACTGTAAAGTGCATTGAAATGCTTTGAGTATATAAAAGATGGCATGCAAATGCATTGTTCTTTAAATATCTCAACATTGTCCTTACAATGCTGTGCAAAAATTAATCCATTCACTACTAATTTCTGAACATTAGTAATTGGCAATGGAATGCTATATGTTGCTTTGTTTTTTTACTTTGCTCAACCCTTCCCTGAAAATTGCAAAGCTGGAGGTTTAAGCCCTTTTTCATAGACTTAACATGCAATCTATACTGACACTTCAGTGCAGTACTAAACGAGATGCCATTATCCATATAGGATGTTTGACTTAGGTTTCTCCAGCTCTATCAGATGGATAGAAGTGATCTTATGGTACCATACTAGAAAAAAAAACAGTGATGTTTTCTGTGACTTGGCCCATTTTCTACAACTTGTGCAATTAATTTATTGCTAAAGTAATTTAAGAAATGGAGAATATATTGTATTCCTGAAAGATTATAGTTTGTGGAGTTGTTGACCTGAAACAATTTAATATTTTCTCTCCCCACAATTGCTGCCCAATTTGCTGAATGTTTCCAATATTTTCTGTTTTTATTAAAGGCAACAGCTAAGGTTTATATAGTTTGTTTTGAATTAACTAATCAATAGAATTCCATATTTTATCAATAAAGGTATAGACTGTAAAAGCCAAACAGTAATGTTGAGCCTACCTGAAACATTAATAAATCTCTGAGCCACGGTTCTGCGTTCAAGTCTCACGTGCAGGCCAAGAAAGGTGTATTTAAAACCTGGCCAAATAGGTTGATGATCAATCTGCAAATATCGTCCAAAGGCAGGCAGGCAGAGTGGGAGAGATCCTGATCAGCCATACTGCAGAAGGCAAGGGAATCTACTTCAGGCCTTCACTAAATATTTTAGAATGTTTTGTTCTTTTCTGAGCTCAACATTATTTGAAGCCTTCAGAGAAGGTAAAATACCTGCTTTCCACTCTAAACAAATGTTCCCATTTGTCCATTCTTCATCTCTCTTCAACCCACTTACACCTTAATCTATTTTTGCACTGCATAATTTTTTTATACATGTAACATTTGTAAGTTTTGATAAAATGATGTTAACGTGACACTAAAAGTTAATGCTTTGTCTCTTCAGACATATTGTCTGACATATAAGGCACAGAAATAACCTAACCCATGTCCTCCTTCTGTACAGCAAACATTCTATGGCTTTACCTACTTCTAGTATTTGCTATTTTGATTTAATGAGATGCTGCCTGGCACGACAAAAAAGAAAGTCTTGAGATAACACAGTCTGGAGCTGGAGGAACCAGCAGGCCAGGCAGCATCAGAGGAGCAGGAAAGTTGATGTTTCAGGTTGGGACCCTCCTTCAGAAATTTCTGAATTTCTGAAGAAGGGTCCCAACCCGAAATGTCAACTTTCCTGCTCCTCTGATGCTGCCTGGCCTGCT